ACGCAAATTGTAGAATAAACAAAACAGTATTACGAGATACAGCAGTGTCTCACTTTCTGGTGAGTGTAAAGTGAGTGTAAAGCACAGTACAGTCCTACCAAACCAATGTTCGAGTACATAAATGTTACAAGTAGCTCACAGTGAGGTTATAGCTGTTGACTGATATAGTGGCTCGCTATTTTTATTAAAAGAAGTTACATTTAAAGGATTGCATTAACGAAAACCTCTGTATGGCGTTTAGTAAGATTTCTAATCAAAATGCCTGAGCAATGCTGCCACCTTCTGGAGAAATTATAAAATGCAACAGACAAATTTAAAGCTGTAGTAACGCCTCTGTCCGGGACATAGAAAGCTTTTGTTCTCAATCACTCTAAATAATTTGGGAGTAAATTATATTTTAAAGTTTAATTTGGCAATTCCATTCATAGAAAAAGCAGTCCTACTGTGGTTTAATGAAGACCAATATGTGAACCACTAGATTCATGCTCAGCGTTTTTTATTTCTTTTACAATTAACACGGTTTAAATTATGCACCATAATTACTTTATTGCTAAATGACTACTTAAACATGCACTACAAGTGAAACATTGTTTTAACAGTTGTATACACTTACATTACAAACTGAGTAATTGTCAAATGAGACTTGTGTGCAAATTGTCTTTGATGTAAGGATCCCTTGCAGATGCTTTTTGGGGTAAGGGCTTCCTGGATAGACACATGACAGCAAGCCCAGACCGCAAAAAGACCTGAAAAGAACAACAGCACTCAGTTGCAATCATGGTCACCGTCATACACAGTTGGTCCAGTATCTGAAACACACAGTTACAAATAAGTGGGACTGAATGCAAATTACTGATAAAACAAAACATACACAAAATCATTATTTGTTTAGAGTTTACGTTTTGTTCCTCCTTCAAGTCTTTCATTGAATCACAAATTTCTCAAAGAGATTATTAACTTTATACTTTATTGTACGGCTTCAATCAAGAATAGTGATGAGTACCAAATTGTTTTTCTGCCTTTGCTAATCTAGTTTGTATAAATAAACATTAACTAAAGCTTTAAATGAAATATGCAAGGGCATTAACCTTCAGTGTGAACTGAATTCCCTCTTGATGGTACATGTATATTTTCACATTTCTTTTTGCAGGACCGTAGACATGGAGAAAAACAAAAAAGGGACTATTAAAATATAGAGGACTATTTTATTATTATTATTTTTTTACAGTTCACAAGACTAAAAATCTCTTCTTAAAGTCATTGCTTAATATTATCAAATCAGCAGCAGGTTCCACACTCTGACGTCATGCAAATGTTTCCACTATAACTGCTCATTATTCTGTTTCCTTTCTTTTGCATTTGCTTATAAACTGATTTTAATGTCCTTAAAATAGCAAGATGGAACAGGATGATATTGTTGTCGGTCTCTAGTAGACGCATAACACATGAAAAAAAATCAGTTTTGTGCTTTGAGTTGAGTTATTGGCTGATTTTGAGTTTAAGAAGCATAACGTCAAATATACAAGACTAGAGAGAGATGTTAATGTACATAAAATGGAACTGGTGTAGATATACACTCTATGAGCACAGATTGTAAAGGACAATATTCCACACCCAAACATTTAAACATTGAAAATGTATCATATTGTCAAGCCTTTCAACAAACAAATGCTATTCCTTTTAAAATGTCCACCAGTGCATGAAAAGATATTTAGTTGCAAGACTTATGGAACACTCATTTCTGCACAACCTACTTGATCCCTTGTTGTGGTTTACATTCACCACACCTTACATTTACACAGAGCCAGTGGCTGGCAGTCTGTTGCATTATCAACTGGCAAAATGTCAATTAAGAGAGCATTTGAAATTAACACATTTTCCTGTGAAAAGAGTCAATTCAGTAAAACTAGTGCACATGTGAATAACACTGAAAAGTCCCAGAGCGCGTGAAAGCCATTCATGATTTTCTACGAGAAGTACAGGATGACGCACTGTTTGTGGATTCAAAAATGGAAGAAAAAAGAGAAAAAGATGAGAATATGGGTACATTAATTTATATTGAGGCACAAGGCCAGAGAAGAATCTGGATTTCAAGTGAAGTGACGTTAAAACGTGTACACACACTTGCTGCAGAAAACAAGCAGGCATAAAGGTGAAACGGTACATGATCACAAATATGTATATGTGTGACGCTAATAAACATTTTCAATAAGTTTCCCACTACACCTCAAAGCATTTGGCACAGGTGCCAATTTAGCAAATCTCCAGAGGAAAGAAAATATTACATATGATCATGTGTAGGGCCTGTGGGTTAAATATATTTATTACAATGATAACACACTTTCAACAATGAAAAGCAAAGTCATCTGGTGTGTATTTATGAGGCTCTATTGGAAGTGATGGTGCAGGCAGTGCGGACAGAAGAAGGTAGACCACACTGGATGAGCTTCACGTGAGCTGTCCATGGTTCTGAAAGCCTCACACCAGCCCTGCCGGTAAACGCCCTAACCTACCCCACCCCCACCTCTCCTCCACTCACGACATTGTGCATGTGTGCAAGTCAAATGTGTATGTGCGTGTGCCTGTCTTTCTAAAAGTGTGTGTGTCTGTTTAAGCAACCATCTTACTGCTGCATGCAACATCAATCTCTTGGGCTTTTTATTGTAGCAAGGGGTTGCACTGTAAATTCATCCTGCCTACACACAAGTCACCTGTCCAGAAGCCTATCCACTGAAAAATTACCCTCGTCTAATAATGTGTTGTCGATCTTTGAGAGGGAAACACACACACACACACACACACACACACACACACACACACACACACACA